CAGCAGGTCAGGACTGAGAGCACAGAGCCCTACAGCAGGTCAGGACTGAGAGAACACAGTAGTACAGCAATGCAAACACCTTATCCTGTTCTAGTTAGATCTTTGAAGGTAAGTAAAGCTTTACTGTTATGCAAGTCCAGGGAAAACTGATGTGTAAGTGGTATTGGTGTAGGCGGCACGCTCTTCGCTCTGAAAAGTAATTTCTCCGGTGCCACAGTGCTGGTCCCTGGGTCAGAGTGACCTTTTTCTAGGGGACATCCCCCTTTGTACAGTAGTAGGCGCGTCGGGTCCACCATACATAGTGGTTCAAAGAAATAAATACATTTCCAAATCTTCCCTCCGGTATTTAGTTTTTTATCGTGTGACTGTCGTGCCCTCGCCGGTTAAGATGAACAGAAAACAGCGACAGACGTCAGATCAAGAGATTCCGGAGAGAGAACGATACAGGCTGGATACTGGACAGCTCGTTATGTGAATAAGCGAGGTTCCCAGGCGAAAAATAGGAGGGAGGCTGGCGAGCCAACGCAGAAAAAAATGGTTACAAAACGGGTAAAAAAAGTAGGTAGAAGAAAGGGAGAAAAACGGAAACAAAAAGGGGCGAATTAAAAATGAACAAGTCTAAAAACGAGAAACTACAAGGGGAAAATGGAACCGCTGTACCCCAGCGCAGGGAAGAAGAGCAGCAAAAGAAAAGCTTTAGTTTAGAGAGACGCCACCGCTCGCACGCAGGATTGAGACTCTTAACGATTTCTGCTCTAGCAACTGTGAGTTCACTGTTGTTTTATTTAAAAAATAAACGAGAAATCCACAACATTGATCTTTTACATCAGTACATTCTTACCGCCAGACCTTTCAATCAGGTTTTTCGTTTTGTTCTTGTGCAGTAAATGCTCCTTTCTTTGACAATATAGAAAGCTGTCTCGCGAAGCAGGTTTAGTCAGGATTTTCTCACCGGGTTAGACTTTACGCGATAGCTGAGTTCATCTTAACTCTGTTTCACGAAGGTAAACTCAGGCTTAAGTTATTATTGCCGGTTGTTTGATGAAACCCCTGTTTGATGGTATTCACTAATGTATAGTTGGGAAATGTTACTGTATGTACTGTAAGCACACAAAACCTGTTCTACGAAAAAAGCAGTACTAACGATGTGAAGTCTGGAGAGATCGTGAATGTAAAGTCTGCTGAACCAGCATCTTTCAATGTAAACCGACAGGGTGCTACTCTATCATTCAATTTTCCCTTTTCTGTTTAAACCCTGTGCACATCTCATTCACGTCTAAAGGTTTTGAGTTCAAGTCTCTTGTGTGCTGAGCGCCAGACCTCTAATGGCTCTCCTGCCCTAACCCTCAAATATTCCACCTTCAAGGACTCCTTCTGCACAGCTGCCGAGCTCTCTAGTTAATAACATTTCTCTTCAAATTTCTCAGCAGGTTTCTCAGATTCTCTGACCCCTTTCTTGCTCTATAGCCAACATCAACTCCCAGATGCTTAAACTTGAAAGCTCCTTCTCCTCAGCCTTTGAAATGCAGATGATGACTGATCTGACTTGACTTTTGAATTTTCTCCATTTCATATTTGCTGACTTTCCAGGACCTAGTTTTAACAGTGCTGACCAAGAATGTCGGTGTATCTAGATGACTGTGGCTGTACAGTATTTCAGTAGTAAGGTCTGTGTTAGGAATGGCGGTGTATAACCTATGACCTATAACAGTGGTCAAACCAGGCCTGTCTGGACCATTTGATATGATTGAATAATGAGAATGGATTCCAGGCAGAACCCCCAGTGAATCAGAAGCCAAAGCAAAGGTCCCAGAGCTCCAGTCTGAGCAGGATGCAGCTGGGAGAGTCACCATGTCGTGAGGAGTCAGGGGCCAGCACTGCACCAGTTCAGCACCAGTGATGGGGGAGTGGAGCTGTGTTGGGGTGTAATTCAGGTGTAAACAAGTATGATCTGTTTTGAATGCAAGACCTCTTTGAGGACTGAAGCCGAGGTCAATTACAGCTTATGGAGAACGTCTGGTTAACTAATCTGCATTGTTTTGGACAAAATCAAACATGAAATGCAAATTCAAGATATAAAATGAACGATACAGAAAGAAAAATACAAGAATTCAACCATATGAATCGAATAGATTGGGATTTCCACAATAATAGCCAGCAGGCCACATAGAAAATTATTGAGTTGATCCGGTTTAAGTTGTATTTGAACTTTTCTAGCTTGGTTTTCTTATTATGATCATATTATGGGGTATTTATATATCAGCTGTTACTGTTTACCAAGTTCAGGAGCTCTTGATATATAACTTTAACAAGTAACATTACTTAGTAATGTATGATGACTATTGTTTTGGTTTCTACTCTACTTACCATCACGGAAGTTTAATGAGACGTCACCCAGTTCACTGCCACCAGCTGTGAAGAGTATAAGAAGTAATGTGGTTCAGAGCAAATACAGCACAAGCAACTGTAGAGTCAGAACTGTCCCAGAATATAATGCAACAGTTTTGCCACTAAGAGACAGGAATACAGCAGTGCAGGCAGAAGTGGGGTCTGAACTATTTACTAGGTGCAGTCATTTTCTAAACAATTATTTTTTTTTTAAATGACAACAAATATAAAACTATATTTAAATTTTAAAGTGAAAACTTATTTAGGTTAAAATATTTTTGAAACAATTTATGGAATGTCAGGGTGTTGAACAGTATTTATTCCTGCTCGTACGTGACTGATCAGTTCCCTGGCACTCGCTCGCGTTATAAAGACTGGTAGTGACAGAATCCTCATGCTATATTCAGTGTTCATGGTGAAAACAGCAGAGCAGAACTGACTGTCTTCATATGATGGAAGAAACTTTCCTAACTCTTGCATTGGGAAGATGCCCTCAGTAATTTGTGTGCTTGACAGAAATAGACTATTAGTCGCTTTGCCTAATTTGTAATCTTAGAAATAACGGCAAGACCGACTCACCCAGTAGAGGAGTTCTATCACTCATGACTGCAGAGTGTCGAAGTGTCAGGGCGTCAGTGTGGTGGTGGTGGTGCTGCTGCCTGTGTCTCAACACTGTGGAGAGTTACCACCCCTCTGTCTTATACCTGAACCTCTGAGAGCCCTGAACACACCCCCTGGCGCACCGAGGCCAATGGAAACAGACTAAACAGACTCACCAAGGCGTGTGTAATGTCCGCTCATGTTTCCAGCTCTTGTGCTGATCAGTCAGAGTGCTGCTGCTGCCTGTGTCTGTGTGTCTGTTTCAGCTGTGTGGGACTGTCCTTCTGCTCTCACGCCCTGAACCAGCGATAAACACACCCTCTGACACAGCCGCAGTGTTCAGCAGTGTCTCCTGGACTCACACAGCAGCAGTTACACTGTGAAGGTGTACGAATTGAAGAAAACCTGCTTCAGCTCTCTTGTACAGTGTATTCATCTTAATCTAGAATACAATCTCACACTCCAGGCACAGGTACAGAAGTTCTAGAGTTCTTCAGAGAACAGTTGTAAAAAGATGGTCTTCTTAACAGTGAAAATAGTTTGTTTTTAATTTTCTTTGCTGTTCCCTTTGCCTTAGTTTGTATCATCTATAAAGCACCCTAGTTTATTGATGACGCCAGAAACTAGATTATTGATATAAATCAGGAAGACTACAAGTACAGATTCCTCCACTAACTGTTGTATATCACCCAGATTAAAAGTTCCTCCCCTTATTGCTGCTCTGTTTTTAACCTATTTATAAAAGCTTAAATATCTGTATCTTTCGGCTTCAGCATCTATTGTCATTAAGTCATTAAAATAAAAGAAATAAAACAAGAGGCTTTCATCCTCTCAGCTAACTGAGAAACTGTGGTGATGTTAAAACGGTGCGTACAGCACTTAGATTTGTGTTGTAAGTGTTGAGCATTCCACTCGCGCCTCTCTTCCTTCTTGCATTCCCACGCGCAAACCCTGTAAAACAAGCTCACGCCGCAAGTAAACGCCAATCACCTTTCTCTCCCGTCTCTATTTTAGTTCTTCTTTTTCCTCACTTCCCCGCTCACTATTGCGGATTCTCTTCGAGCTCCCTAGTGCGCGTTTATCTCTTGCTTTTCTCCGGTTTTTGATCTCCTAGCCTGCTTCTCGTTTTCGGTTTCGCCTTGTGTTTTTGGATTGTTGCTTCCTCGTTGTCTCTCCGTGTTCCGACCTACTCACCTGCCTCCTGGTTCTCGTTTTTGCCTAGCGTATCTGCTTAGTGTCTTTCTCTTGTCTTGAGTCCTGCATAGGATCCTATTGCCCTAGAAGCCCTACTCTTACAGTAAGCTCTGTTAGGACCACTGCTCTGTTGTTGCTTGTTTGACTAACAGATTAAAACAGATTAAACCTGCATTTTGTAAGGCCATGTCATGCAACCAGAAAGAATAAGACAGTTAATGTCCAGTACACACGGCACTGTACTAATCTGCACTGCTCAGGACAACAGAAAACAGCTCAGGAATCGTCAGTTAGCTGCAGGGACCCAAGAAGGGTTTCAGATTGAAACTGCAGTAGTGGGTATGGTGGCGGTATAAAGGGATTATCATCACCACAGCCAGTTTCTCAGTTAGCTGGGAGGATGAAAGCCTCTTGTTTTATTTGAAGAGCTGATGAAAACACAGACGGGGTGATCTGTTAGCTCTCGAAATTCAGTACATGTAAAGCAGCCTGTTTACTGGTTGTGAAGCTGATGGCCTGAGTTCACATTGCCAGGAAGAGAACAAACAAGAAACCACAGCACTCATGTCAGGTGAAGAACAAGCTCTGCAGCTGGTCTGCCCTTCTGTCTCTGCTGGTGCTGAAAGGTGAGTGCTTTCATGAGTGGAAACTAGTTTGAAGATGCTGGCTGTTGTGGTAAAATCTGTAACCAACACGTTGATCTCTTTTTTTCTTTGCATGAAAGAATTAAAGTATTAAAAATTCTCTTGTGAAAAAGGTTGTAAAGAAATTAAATATATTTGAGAAATGTTAGTGCTTTATATCCACTAATAGACCAACAATATGGATCCTTTATAGGTATTTGTCCTCTGACACACTGACACTCTCACTGTCCACACTGTCCTGTGTGAAACTGACACACTCACTATCCACACTGTCCTGTGTGAGACTGACACTCCCACTTCTGTTATAAGCTCCATTTAGGATTAATCTTTCCTTGAGAAGATAAGGAAAGCTGGACTTTCCCCTGAGCTACAAAGCCTCTTTCAAGTGTGAAGATCTGGAGAAGTGATCTGCAGTGCACACCAGGAGTACCTCTCTGAGTGTTGCTCAGTCCCTGTCCTGTGCAGGATCTGTTTGCAGGAACAGAAGCGGTTTTGTCTAATTCAGGGTATGGGGGAGCTGGACCTCTCCCAGAGAGCAATGGGCACAAGGCAGGGTGCACCCTGGACAGGACTCCTGTCCACCACAGGACACACAGGACACACACAGACACGCATACCCTGGACAGGACTCCTGTCCACCACAGGACACACCAGCCAGTTTCCCCAGAAGCGAATTGAACCCAGGGAACTAGTGCTATGAGGCAGAAAAGCAAATCTGTGTGACACCATGCTGCCACAACTTGAACAAATCCAGGAAAACAAACATGTGGAAGAGCTTGGAGCTCTTTTCATTAGCATCAGCTAAGCATTTTATTGGAATAGAAATTAGGGGCCGAAAAGCTTCCATAATCTTTGCTTCTGCTGGGAGATTGTGTGACCTTCCTGTGAGACAGGGAACACAATACCCCAAAAACATGAGAAAGCAAAAGGTTTTGTTGAAAAAACAACTCGCTTCTAGTTTTTGTGTAGTTAAAGCTTCTCATTTCACAGGCTGTAGTGCAGTATGTATTTTTCAGAGAGTACTGTACTCCCGCTGTGAGTGTGTCTGATACAGTGTCACTCCCGCTGTGAGTGTGTCTGATACAGTGTCACTCCCGCTGTGAGTGTGTCTGATACAGTGTCACTCCCGCTGTGAGTGTGTCTAAGATTATTGACAGATACAGTACAGCAACTTAACAAATTTTAGGAAATAACTTGGACTGAAATTCTAAGTGCAAATGCAGTAAAAAGAAGAGAGTGATCCTCACTGTGCTGTAAGGAGTTCCTGTCAATGTACAATCTACAGTTGACATATAGCCAGCAATACAGAGAGAACATCTCTTCACCACCAGTGTAGACCTATACATGCTCGAACTAGAACACAGCAGTGTACATATGTGTTTTTCTTACAGTAATCTCAGTTATGTTACTCATATCTCACGATAATGCTTCACAGCATATTTGTTCTGACTTAGTAAAGAATTACTTAAATTGTATATTCCTTGTTTCTATAAAGCTCCCAGCTACTAAAGAAATGTTAAACTAAATATGATTGTAACTTCACCTGAAACAACATGTGGCCTCTGTAGAAATTCAGTTTTGGTTCCAGCCCTGCAGACAGTCTGCCTGGGCACGCCTGTCAGTCTCACCCTTGTGAGCGACAGCAGGGTGAACTGGATTTCTGCTAAGTCACACGATCACAAAGCACCTGGGCTGCTGGTCTTCCCCCATGTGCTGCTGAGATGATGTGGGAATCACAACACCATTATCTGTGTACAGTAATCCTACTTGTGCAATATTATGATTTAGATTACCTTGTCTGTCTCAAAGTATCCTTGATATATTGAGGTCAGAATGTCCCCCAAAGAGCACTGTCCCAGATGTACAGTACATGTCTTTGGGTCTTTGTCAAAGAGATAAACTCAACCATGAGTGATGGATGAGGATCAGGAGAATAGTTGTGTAAAGTCGTTACAATCGGACACTTTTCTTCTGTCTCCTCAGGCACTTTTCCATCTCAGCTCAACCTGCAGTCTGAGATAAACACACCTGTACTGTATAAACATATAACTTTCATGCCGAGTGTTTGATTGATGTGGTTTGAAAACTAAATGCATTCTTACTCGGTCTTTCAGTCTTGTAAAACAAGTGATTTTTAAAATGTGCTGAACTTCCATTGGTCTTCGGGTTGCTGCTGTTTTAGAACAGACTTTTTTACAAATATACTGATGGAAAAAAGAAACAACACTCATCGTTGAACTGAAATTTCAACCTTCATTGCTGAAATAACAATAAACACGTGAAAATAATAGGAAAACAAAACGGTACAACAACAAAAACAAGAACAGCTGTGAACATTAACAACAGTCGTCTTGCAGTCCTTCAGTGTCTTGTGTGGCCACCTCTTGCAGTCTCCACTGCTCAACACCTCTGGCACATACAGCCAATGAGCCTCTGTGGCAGGAAATAGTTCTTTCTGGTCCCTATGCGGACGGCACGATCCGAAAGGTGAAGAAACAATAGGGAAAAAATCATGCAGGAGTCGGTCAGGAGACAGGGGGGCGTGTCCGAGGTGAGCAGGTGTCCAGGGGAAGTGAGTCCGGGGCGAACAATCCAAGCATGAATCCAAAAGGGGAATCCAAAACGGGAGGCGAAGTCCAAGACCAGGGTATCCATCCAAAGAAACTAAAAACCAGAACCGGGTCGGGACCGGCGGGGCAGGGAATCAGGAACAGGAAACTAAAACCATAACGGAGCCAGACGCAGCAGGACCCCGGGCTCTCACGAAACGGGATTCAATGAGAAGCCCCGAGGAATCGCCTGCGTCTGGCTTTAAAGGTGGAACTAAAGAGGGGCTGGAATAAGAAACAGGTGTGGGGAATGGGACAGAACGAGGAAGGGCTGGAGCGCCCTTAAGAGGAGGAGTAACGATCGGGACACTCTGAACCTGCACTTGTGGGATGGTATCCCATTCCCATTCCATCCCATTTTAAAGGTGACCTGATCAGGCATTGTTCCTCCTGGACCTCATTGGGTAAATCAGTTCCCAGTTCTCTGGGAATCAGTATTTATAGTGATAACTTGCCTTTAGTGCTTAGACAAATACATTGTTCCCCATTATGACCTCATAAAAAGGCTTCCATAAGAAACAATGTCCAGAAACAGACAAATAAAGCCCCAGCATCTCAATACAGCAGTTTAT